AGATTTCATACTACTCCACTTCTTCACTGGCCACTAGTGTAAGGGGACACTTTCTCCATTGATCACTAGTGTATGGGGACACTTCTCCACCAGCCACTAATGTAAGGAGACATTTCTCCACTGACCATTAGTGTAAGGGAACACTTTTCCACTGCCCACTAGTTTAAGGGGGCACCACTCCACCAAACACTAGTGTAAGGAGGCACTTCTCCACTGACCAAAAGTGTAAGGGGAATATCTCAAATGACCACTAGTGTAAGGAGACACTTCTCCACTGACCACTAGTTTAAGGGGGCACTACTTCACCAAACACTAGTGTATGGAGGCACTTCTCAACCGACCACTAGTATAGGGGAACACTTCTCCACCGACCACTAGTGTAAGGAGGCACTTCTCCAAGGACCAATAGTGTAAGGGGATACTTCTCCATTGATCACTGGTGTAAGGGGACACTCAACCTTTTACAGTTTCTGTTTCTTTTATGGCCATTATTATTATTGTTTAATATAATGATTATTATTGAAATTCATTTTGTCAGATAAAGCAGGAGGTGTTGTAAAATTAACCCACTCTTGGGGGTTGATTTACTAACCTTATAAACACACCACGAACATGTATACACCTCTGTAGTGTGTTCCCTCCCAGCATGATCTATGGGTGGAATCTAAACACCTTTGTAGTGTGTACACCCCAAGCAGGTGTGTTGTGCAAAGCCCTGCCCTGAATTGCAAGGTGATGTTGTGTAAATTAGCTCTACATTGTGTTGCTTGCGTTGATGAATGCAGGAATGTAAATGCATGAGCTAACCATTTTTGTCTAAACTGTGAAGCAGCATTATATATGCATCATGTGCATGATTTTTCCATGTATGGCATTAGTGGAAATATGCTTATAGAGACTTTTTGGTTGATAAATACGCTTTGCTGTGTAAAAATCACACACACCTGGTGCGTGCGTGTGTTTAGGTTAGTAAATCACCCCCTTGGTGTCAGATAGTCCAGGTATGTTATATTTGTTTTTAATTCTTTTTAAAAAAAATTGATGTATCTACAACTTATTGGTAACATATCAAGACCCATGGATATAATACATACATGTTATCACAGTTCCCTAAAAACAATCCTCCAGGGTAAGAAGATTGAGAAAGGTTGCTTTAAAGTATCAACAGATATGAATTGTCTTTAGTAACATCTTCCACTTAACATCAAAAGAACCATACATCAAGCAGACATGGCAGGAAGCTGCTGGTACCAAATGTTCTAGGAAGTATGAACCATAATTTACTTGGGGTGCTGCACTTAGAAAGTCAGATAGTGTGCCAAACAAGAGCCTCCTCTCATATTTTACCCACAGCAATGCCACCGATTCACAGACAGTTACAGACTACAAAGTCAACCAAACTTCTTCTTGTAGGTAACCAGGGACCTGCTAGTCAGGGCATGCTAAGAGGTGTAGTCCTCAACTGAAAGATCCCAGGTTGGCAAGGGTGTGAAAACAGACTGGGAGTAAAAGTTGGCCAAGCCTATTTACTAAATTCGCTTTTGAAAGAGGTAGCCGAGCTTACAACGTCATTAAAACAGAAATGTGTAAACATTTTTTAACTGGAACAACTAAATGCTGTAACATAAAATCATCAGTATCACCTAATCCATTGCTAAACCTAAACAAATGGTCCTTATAGAGTAAGCAACAGGGCAAGCAAGTAGTATCAAGTAACTACTACATGGCCACACCCATGCGCTATGGGTGTGTGTACTAAGTTTAGCTTCACCTGTCCACAAGGCTGACAAAAAGTGCCCAAGTAGCTTAGCCCTAATGCAGATATAATAAATAATAATAAAAGAAATAAATTAAACAATTAATACATTCATTTATTAATAAACATATATATATATATAGCTCTACAGTAGTCATATTTTATAGCATTGTCAATAATTACCTTTGCATTTCCTGGAGCAACTAAAAATAGCTCAACATTTTTAAATCGGTATCACCTAATCCATTGCTAAACCTGAACAAACAGTCCATATAGAGAAATTAACACGGCAAGCAAGTAGCATCAAGTAACTGCTATGCTGCTACACCCATGGACTAGGGGTTACTAACTTTTGCTTTACCTGTCAACAACGGTGTGCCCAAAATGTGAGGTTGACAAAAAGTGCCCAAGTATCTTAGCCGTATATATCCAGTTAATCCAGTTTTTTTGGTCAGTTTAACAGTGAAGAGTTAAACTATTTGTTATGAACTGGGAAGCTTGAAACATTAAAGAGCCAACCTACTTAAAATACACACAAACTTAATAACCGAATCAGACCTGACGATATCCTAGATACATTTTGGATGAAGAATTTAAAGCAGAAGACTTGCTGTTGACTATTCCCAGGGTAAGAATTTAGCCTAAAATGACTGATCACTGGGAACAATAACTCAAACACAACACATGTTGATAACAGAAAAATAGCTGAAGCTCTAAAATCTTTACAGGTTATTTTTAAGACTTAGGAATTATTTTATGTACATTAAATACTGCAAATATCTATAAGGTGGCAACAATGGCCAGCTTGGTTTTTCGTTAGCATAATGAATACCAGTGGCCCCACTGCTGGCATACATACCCATGTATTGTTAATAGCCAAATATGACCACCATCTCATGCCTAGGTCTGTATAGATTTGATAATAAATACATCCCGTGGCACAATAATCCATTACTTACGGGCAAACGTGCAGCTGCTGGTGAACAGCACCAGTAGTAAGAGTGTCCTAGTGCCCATGGTGAGCTGTAGAAGCTCTCAGGCACCCCTTAAACTCCTATTTCGCCAGTCCTGGCTGCTGGTCTTGTGTCCCAGGGAGAGAATGAGAATTTTGCTTTGGACCTGAATTTATATAGGCAGGAAAACCAGCTGAGGTATTGTGTTTAGAAGTTCAGAGCAAGTTGCAAAAGGTCCAAAGGGTAAAGTTTTGCTGCGCAGATTAGTGTGATGACTTGGGCCTAGGTCTGGGAAAACAGCACAATAGCAGTGATAGCACAGGCATCTCAGGAAAGAATGATCATTTGTTCGGTGCATTTAGTTTACAATTGCATTACATTGTATTATTTAAAAAAATTATACATTTACTAAATATGTCTTTTTTTCTTCTCCATAGTAAATCAAATTAATTATATGAGGGGGTTTAGGTTAAAATTTCTGGTGGAGACTCATTCAAAACTAAAAAATTATGTATTTTTAGATGAAAAGATAAACTCCAGGGAGATGTAACATGTCACTATTTAATCCAGTAATCCATGTATAATTAATTAATTGTATTTTAAAAACAGCTAGCATTAGGATCAGGTCCTTATGCTAGCTGTTTTTGAATAACAATTAATTAATTCAGGATCTTTCGATATATTAGCTTCAAATAATCCCCTCTACGGTTAATCTAAGACTGGTAGAGGGATGGCCATATGCGTGAGCCAATCAATCGCAAATGCATTACATGGTTCTGTCAGTCTAAATCTGGATGCTTGCTGACAGGAGGTAAGGCAGAGTGATGACCCTATCGGTTTTTAGAGTAGGGTAGGTTTGGGTAGGCTAGATGACCTGGGGCTAGGTTTGGCAAACAGCAGCAATAATAGCACAGGCATCTCAGGAGAGAATCACCAGTTATTCATTTTATTCCAGTGGCATTATATTGCACTATGTTACATCTCAATGTAATTTTATAAATCATGCATGTGCACAGGGGCGTCCCGAGGCTGGGTGACACCCGGAGCGGTAACCGAGTGTTACCCCGCCGAGACGTCACTGCGCATGCACGTGACGTCAACACGCGCGTGCGCGAATGTACATAGTATTCACGTGTCTCAGAATTCCACAGACAGGACACACTTTAAAGGTCTTGCTTGGAAATAGACTAAGCGGTCTATTCACTAAACTGCCGTAGGCAGCCGAGTGACTAACCGACCCGAAGCGAAGTATATCGCCTGAAATCAGCCGTACATCGGGTGGCTTCGGCATGTTTGGCCGACCCGTAGTGCAGAAGGAGTTCGACTCAGCCGATCCAACATCTGGATCGGCTAAGCCGAACCTCTGGCAAGCTACTCGCTGCTATTCGGCCTATTCTCATAGATGCCGAACAGCAGCGAGTGAATAGCCGAATGCGGCATTCGGCTCCGCTGTTCTGCTCAGTACCTCTGTGGTACCGAGCAGAATAGAAAAACTGTTTAAAAAGTAGTAAAAAATAGAATAGAAAACGATTGGGTGGAGCTAGCAGTGACAGCTAGCTCCGCCCAACTATTTTCTATTGGCCGGGCAGTTCTGCTGCCGTCAGAATAAAAAAAAAAAATCACCATAGGAATGCATAGCTAGATTCCTATTGGCTATTTCACTTTGCAATAGCCAATAGCAAACTAACTATTGCACCCGCCCTCTGCTGCTGTCAATCACTAGAGGGGACCTGATGGAGAACTTCAGGTCCCCTCTGTTGATTGACAGCAGCAGTGGGCGGGTGCAATATCTAGTTTGCTATTGGCTAATGCAAATTGTCAGAAGAGAAAAAAAAACAGAGCAGGGAAAGGTTTACTATGCTCGATTGAGCAGAGTGAACCTTTCTGGGAGAAAGTGTTTCTCTCTCCCGGGCGGCCGGGAGCCGCTATCTAATAGCGGTAGACTCCCGGAGTGCCCAGGAGAGTTGGGCTGCCTGGAGATCCGTGTCCCTGGTTACCTGGTAACCAGGGACGCTGATCTGTCTGTGCAAGTGGCTGGAGCCAGCCGTTAGATGACAGCTGGCTCCGCCCAGCAGTCAAGCGGCGTATCGGTGCTTTCTTTCCTCCCCGCTGGGCGCTGCTTTGTGTCCCAGCGGGGAGGAGAGAAAGTGACGGCCGAGCGCTGCGGGAGGAGAGCGCTGTGTTTGTGGGTGGGGGGGGGGCAAAAAAAAATCTTGCACCAGGGCCCTTTGTTCCTTAGGTCCGCCACTGGGCAGCAAGTAGCCTGCCGGAGGCTCGGCCGAACCGGATGTTGGATAAGCTGAGTTGAACTCCTTCTGCACTTCAGCTTAGCTGAACATGCTGTGCATGTTCGGCTGAACCGAAGTCAGCCGAAGCAAGCCGATGTACGGCTGATTTCAGCTGTTGTACGGCTGAAATGAGCCGTACAAGCCTGAAGTGAATAGCCAAACAGCTTTCGGCTCACTTCACTTCGGGTCGGTTATTCACTCGGCTGCCTTCGGCAGCTTTGTGAATAACCCTGTTAGTCTTGGACTGGGAGAGTCAATCTAAAACTGGATTATGGCTGACAGGAGGTAAAGCCGAGTGGTGACCTTATCAGCTCGTTCACAATCCAATAATCAGGGTGAAGGCAGATTTGGGACCAAGCTGGACAGCTTATCTGCAATAGAGGAAACATGAGGTCAGTGACCTGCTTGTACTCTCTGACAGGGCTGACCAGATATGAATCCTTTGGCAGGTAAAACAGTTACCATTTATGTATCTCCCCTGTGTATTTTGCTGTTTAATTTGAGTTCACTGTTATATATAAATATAAAAAGTCACAAATAGATATTTAGCCTTTGATGATCACCCTAGACCATGATAGCAGCCTTGTATGTAAAGGATTGAACATCTTCCGGAATGGATTATCCTTTATCCAGTGGCATCACACAGGGGGAGGGGTGCAGCCTTCACTAGGTGACACCATCAGAGGGGGTCACCCCCTCTTAAAAGTTGGGCATTCAGTCATGGACCAAAGGGCCAAGTGTGGCACAAGAGGGGGGGGGACCTGCCGGCATACCTGATCAATATCCCCTCCTCTCTTTGCTGACGTCCATTACCAATATGGCCGCAGGCAGTGAAGAACATCACTGTGCGTGCGTGATGACATCATACCATGGACATCATAACACACGTGCGGCTGTCTTAATCAACAAAACTAAAGTATAGATTCCTTATTGGGGGACAGCTGGCAACAGAACAGGTTTCCCCATTGGAAGATTTCCCCCACCTCCTGTTTCTGTAACACCACAAAACCTTTGGATTTATCACCACATTGTTTGGCAGAAATAACATTTGCTCCTTCCTTTCCCTTTGACATGACAACACAGTATATTTAGGGCTTCGAATCCCTAAGCACATGGTGTCAGACATCTCATCATCTCCATAAGCCCTCCTCATCTCCTCCCACCACTTCATTACAAGTTAGTAAACTAAAGATGAGCTTGTAGCCCTTCATGAGAACGAGCTTGGAGCCCTGACTACTTTACAACACACACAGGGAGCATGGGGAACAAAAGTACCCCCCCTCCGGAAGGAAGGACAGTGTCAGCACCAATTCAGAGATGATTTGAGGATCCACAGCCGAGTGATACACAAATAAGAAACATTTATAATAGTTAGGGTAGTTGAAATGATTAATTAGATGCAGAATGTTTGAAAGAAAACAATGTCCACTGTGCTGTGCAGAAAACAGGAAATGTTCCGAGGATCCTTTCTCATGTATTAAATGTGTTCTTGCTCTATCTGCTATATACGCTATATACACTAATATATCTATATATCTATATATATAGATATGGGACAAAAAAGGTTTTGGTGAACAGATCCTGAGTGTGTGGTGCCACACCCATGTATTGGTCAAAAAAGGTTAGGAAAGAAAAGTGTGGCTTTAACGGCGCCAAGCGACAAGTCCAATGAATCACAGTTACTTGAATAAAAAAATATATAATTTAATTACTATGATACAAAATATAAAAACGGCCATGATTAAAACCTATAATTGGGTCGGTAAGACTGGCAGACATTTATGAATAAAAATGTATATGTATCTGATTATTATAAATAGGAAGCTTTTGTGAGGATATACAATTTATGTTATTTATCTCTTTATGACCTTATTAGATTACCTCCATTTTCTGATGAATCGCTAGATGCGCGAAACGCATAGAAAATTGAAAAACATCCATTCTATTGGCTCCAGTTAAGGCCTTACACATGACATTTTTGGATCGACTTATATCTTTATCATGTTTGACTAGTACATGTACCCATTATTACCCTTACAATTATTGTCATCATGCTATTGAATGATCCAATCATGTGTTATAAGCCCTAATCATGGAACTGAGTGGTTGTTGAAGGTTTCTATTATATTTTTTAATCATGGCTGTTTTTATATCTTGTATATAATAAAATAAAATTATATATTTTTTTTATTCAAGTAACTGTGTGATTCATTGGACTTACATTTGACCCAAAGCCATTACAATTTCTCTTTATGAAATGTTTTATACACAGACCACAACAAAAGAACATTGTTCATATTGCTGAGGATGGGTATAGAGATTTCATTGCCAATTTCAGTAATTCCAACAACAACATGCCGTAATACATTTCAGAATTCAAGGAAGAAGTATGTTCTAAGCATGTTTACAAATGTTTGTTCTGCTTCTAACCTTTCAATTTTCACCTACTTACCACTTGTTATCTTCTCTGAATAGAAAACATTTCACAAGCTTTATGTAATATTGGCTTTAGGTTTTTACTTGCCTTAAATACCTTTTTTAATTCCCCTTTATAGTGCTCCTAGGCAGTGTTGGACCGAGAACAGCAAATGGCCCTGACATTTAAAGCAGCTCTGTAGCTTCCTATCAAAAACGTAAACAACTGCTGGTTTCAATACAAGACTGTCAATGCTCACCTCTATGGAGGGCAGCCAGGTTGGATTCCTCTATCTTCCAGTACTGCAGTCTCCAGCAAAGTCTTCAACATGAGACACTTGCAGGAAGATCTGTAAAAAAATAAATCAAGGCAACTGGACTTGCTGTGTTCTTCTTGAAGACGTTTTGCTGGTCATCTGACTAGTTTTCTCA